GAAACATTTTGAAAAGAATACAAAATTATGGTAGGAAAAGGTTGCAAAGAGCCCCTTCAAGGAAAAGAGCTCAAATTTCGACGCTCCGTTAATGAATCAAAGAATTGTGTGCTTTAAAAAGCAAAAAGACATTCAGAAAACTGTTAATTAGCTAGGAGATGTATCAATAATAGTACAGAAACTGTTTTAAAGAACTGGAAGTAACTGGATGTAACTGGATGTAACTGGAAGTAACTGGAAGTAACTGGATGTAACTGGAAGTAACTGGAAGTAACTGGAAGTAACTGGAAGTAACTTTAAGTGCTAATCTTAGAAACAAAACTGATTTAGATCTTTAAAAAGAAGAGAATTACGGTCTTTAAATGGTATAAAACATTTAATTTAAGCAAATAAAAAGCTTTCAATCAAATAACAATAACAAAATGACTGCTAAAGCCAGCTAAGGCCAGCTAAGGCCAGCTAAAGCCAGCTAGGGCCAGCTAAAGCCAGCTAGGGCCAGCTAAAGCCAGCTAGGGCCAGCTAAGGTCAGCTAAGGCCAGCTAAAGCCAGCTAGGGCCAGCTAAAGCCAGCTAGGGCCAGCTAAGGCCAGCTAGGGCCAGCTGAATCCAACTAAAGCCAACTAAAGCAAAAATTGCCCTTTCTTTCGCTTTGTTCAATTGAATGGAACACAAATGACTGTTGTCTTTACAGAAAAGTCATTAACGTCATTATAAAATCCGAGAGAACACCTGTCGATTGTGGAAAAGAGTACCAAAAAGATCGTACCAAAAAATTGGAAAATTTTATGAAAAAAAGGATTTGTTCTTTAGCAAAAACACAAAGAAACAATTAATCAATGAAAAGAAAAAAAGAAATGGTAGAAAAGAAAAAGGAATTGTTGAAAGGCATTTGAATGAAACATATGGCGTAAATTGATCTAACCTCTTTTATAAGACTTGGCAAAAGGGAAACTAGCTCTTTTGACTTAAAAACGGCTTTTCTAGGTTTAAAAACGGCTTTTGTAGGCTATTATAAGGCTTTTGTAGGCTCTTGTAGGCTTTTATAAGGCTTTGTAGGCTATTATAAGGCTTTGTAGGCTCTTGTAGGCTATTATAAGGCTTTTGTAGGCTCTTGTAGGCTATTATAAGGCTTTTGTAGGCTCTTGTAGGCTTTTATAAGGCTTTTGTAGGCTCTTGTAGGCTTTTATAAGGCTTTGTAGGCTCTTTTAAGCTTTTATAAGGCTCTTGTAGGCTCTTGTAAGGCTTTTATAAGGCTTTTGTAGGCTTAAAAAGGCTTTTGTAGGCTTTTATAGGCTCTTGTAGGCTATTATAAGGCTCTTATAGGGCTTTTGTCTTTTGACTTTTTACTGTTGGCTTTTGACTTTTGTAACTTAAAGGCGACTGCGACAAACGACAAACGACAACGACTTTAAACGCTCATAACTTTGCCTAGAGATCATATTTTTCTAAACTTTTGCTATAGTTTTATAGAGGACATTTCAGGCTTTCAAATGATACCAAATAGAGGTTGATTGGTTTAACGAATCATGAGAAAATCGACCTTGCTCCTTTGCCATTGGCAATCGAACTTTGAGCTCAAATTTCTCGGTGTTGGGTTGTCCAATCGCAATCATCTTGGTACCAATCGATAGAGAAAGTCTTGGTGCATCTAATGATATGAAGCACTTATAAATTGGACACCCCAACACCAAGATACTTGAGCTTAAAGTTCGATTCCCAATGGCAATCTAAGACCGCAAATTGAGCGAATGTTTTGAGCCGACTAATAACCGACTTTAGCCCCGACTACGTGTCTGAATGCAATGACAGTTGTGATTGTGATATATCATCAGTGCTACAGCAAATCGACTGAAAATCAGCTTAAACAAGACCCAAAAACTGTCTAACCGGGGGGCTATTCCTAGACCAAGCCAATTTCTCGCCAGGTTAGCCAAGTATTTCGAAATTTTTAGCACTTTTGTGAATTCTGGAGCGCACATGAACCATTGAATTGAAAATTTTTGAGAAAATTAGCATTTAACCATGCTTATCGTACCCCCAAATCGTGATCGCCCTTTAAATCTTGTTCGGTTAAGAGTTTTCAAAAATTTCTTTAATATTCTTGCAATCTGGATGTCACCATGTCGAAAATTGAGCGATAAATAGTAGATGGATTGAACGTTAAAAAAAAAGCGTTAAAATAATAGCTAGAATATTATCGAATTCAAGGTTAAAATTGCTAAATGATAGTTTCTTTGACTAGAAAAATTGGAGATGCCTAAAAATGCTTAAAAATGCCTAAAAATGTCTAGAAATGCCTAAAAATGTCTAGAAATGTCTAAAAATGCCTAAAAATGCCTTAAAATGCCTAAAAATGTCTAAAAATGTCTTCAAATGTCTAAAAATGCCTTAAAATGCCTTAAAATGCCTAAAAATGCCTAAAAATGTCTTAAAATATCTAGAAATGCCTAAAAATGCCTAAAAATGCCTAAAAATGTCTTCAAATGTCTTAAAATGTCTTAAAATGTCTAGAAATGCCTAAAAATGTCTAGAAATGTCTAAAAATGCCTAAAAATGTCTAAAAATGTCTAAAAAATCCTTCTCTAAAAGGTGTGAACCTGCAGAAATTTCATTGAAAAGCCGTAAAAGAAGAATATTTTTAGTGTTGTCTTTAGAGAAATCGACAAACCTTTGTTTCCGTTGTGAATTGGTGATTTGTAAAGGAAAGAGAAGGGGAAGAGAAGGGGAAGAGAAGGAGGAGAAGGGGAAGAGAAGGAGGAGAAGAAGGAGGAGAAGAAGAAGAAGGAGAAGAAGGAGAAGAAGAAGAAACAAAAAAAAACTATACGTTTTAAGGGGAAAAGTATGATTTCTCTTGATCCAACGATTTACGATTTAGTGCTAAACACCTTTCTAGCGCGCGTCTCTATCGAAAAATAAAGAATCGATTGCGCTAGCAAAGATTTGTTTACAGATTTTTAAGCACAAAGTACACTAGAAGACTAATGTTAAAAGGGAAATTTTATGTGAAAGTCTCAAATCTGGATCTAACAAGTCTAACAGATCTAACAAAATATCAAGCTGCCTTTTTATCAAGTTAAGTAAAGCGTCGAGGAATAGAGTCGAAAGGTTTGAGGGGTTCGGCAGTCTAACAGACTATTCACTAGACCATCAAAGACCATCAAAAACCATCAAAGCAGTTGTTAACGGAGCGTGTGACAGCTTAAAGCTCAAGTCAAAAGGCCCGCTTGATTCAGTGCTTTTGATTCAGTGCTCTTTGTGAATCCATCATTTCATTGGCACTGGAGAATGAATGAAATGACAAAGGGATTGCAGAAATGATGAATCGAGTTAGATAACAACCACAAATATCGCTTTTTATCTAACTCTCGTAAGGAAAAGACATTTTCAGAATAGAATCAAAATTTTCAGCGTTTTCCATTAAGATTTAGCACCAATATCAGAAAATGAAAGTAAAAGAAAGAAATGAGAAAGAAAGATTTCCGAAGAAGGGATCGAACCCTCGACCTTTCGCTGGACCGTCGTCCTTCCAGGCTGATGCTCTAACCACTGAGCTATCCGGTGACTTATCGGGCCAGAAAAAAGAGGGAATACAAAGGGACTAGAAAGAAAAAAAGAAAAAAGTGAGGTTACACATTTTCTGATGCAGTGAATTTTTCATTTTTTTTCACAGAAACGCCTTGATTTCTGGTGGAAAATTGAAGAATTGAGTGCACTAGAAGGGTTACGTTTACAAATAAGCACAAAATACATGAGTAAAGCGATGTTTTAAAGGGTAAACTGGTGAACAATTTGTGTTGTATGTGAGCTAAAAAAATACATAAAAAGTTTGAAAACTTTTGAGAAAAAGTGTCCAGATGTGAAATTTGAGGAAAAGAAAGGAAGAAAGGAAGGAAGAGAGGAAGAGAGAAAGAGAGGAAGAGAGGAAGAGAGGAAGAGAGGGATTGGAAAGAAAGACAGGAAAGAAGGAAGAAAGAAAGGAGAAAAGATGGGAAGGAAGACAGGAAGAACGACAGGAAGAAAGACAGGAAGAAAGAGAGGAAGAAGAGAAGAGAAAAAAGGAAGAGAGATTGAAATTCATACAACTGCAGCAACAATTACGGAAGGAGTTGAAGGAGACGGTGATACCGGGCAGGATTCTAGAGTTGCCAATGAGAGTCGTCGAGGGAGCACGGGATGCACAGAAACGACTGCCGATTTTCTTGTCGAAAGCACAGAATATGTTGAGGTGAAGGATTGATGGCTTTGACTGGCTCGAACTCCAAACAGTCTTGACTTGGGCTAAGCCAAGGCTAGAATCAAACTCACCTAGAATCAACCTCACCAAATCAACCTCACCTAGGCTCACACCAGCCCTGACAATAAGCCAGGCTGTGTCCTCAGGACAGGGTAAGATCGTGACTGATTGCAAGCCTAGATTAGATCTGAACCAGCGATTGACCTAATCCAAACCGGGTTTGGACCAGACTAGGAAAGGATATGGACTCGAATCAGATCCAAATCAGAGCCAAATCAGATCTAAATCAGATCCAAATCGCTTGATTGAGATTGACCTAATCCAAATCCAACCCAGATCAGATCCAGAACCAGGGTTCTGGACAAGCGTGCCTCAAACCTTTTTCTCAATGTGGACGGTAAAAGCTGGAGTTGAACCAGGCGAAGCTATAGACTCAGGACTAGGACCTGGATGGATTGGAAAGGCAGGAAGAAAGAAAGAACGAAAGAAAGAAAGAAAGAAAGAACGAAAGAAAGAAAGAAAGAACAAAAGAAACGATAAATTTTCCTTTCTTTCCACTTTCTTTTCACTCAGAAAGTTTCTAGAAATTTTTGAGCTTATTGAAATGCAAATGAAAAGCAAATTACAATAGAAATTGAGATTTTCTTTCATTTTTTAAGCAATCATTTCCCATTTACAAGTTTTAAAAGATCTTTTACAAGATCTTCCACAAGATAAGTCCATTCAACTGGTTTTCGTGAAGTGAGCAAAGCTCTTTTAATGGATCACCAAATCCCCAAGAGACCCATCTCTCCACTCAATGAACATTTTGTGCTTTCTTTCAAATTTGATGCTAAATTTGATGCTAAATTTGATGCCAAAATGTGTCAAAATGTATTTTGTGCGCAAAAACTCATCAAAAAAAACCCTTTCTAGCGCACAGATATCTCAAATTTGTTCGTTTTTCAAGGGAAATTCAAAAATTGCGCTAAAAAAATGCGCTAAAAGGGTGTATTTGCAAATTTTTTTGTGTAAATTAGACCTCAAAACGAAATTTGGAAAAAAATTTTGGCTTAATTTGGCTTTTATTGGCTTGATTTTTGCTAGAAATTCGGGAGATTAACAAATTTTTTTTAATTTAATTATTTAAAGTATTTAATTACGGCTCTTTCCCTGAATCGTAGTCTTTTGAAAGTTTAGTGGTCCTTTGAAAGTCTAGAGGTCTTTTCAAAGTTTAGAGATCTTTTAAAAGTTTAGTGGTCTTTTTAAAGTTTAGAGGTCTTTTGAAAGTTGAGAGGTCTTTTCGAAGTTTAGTGGAACCGTATTGGAGCCGTATTGGAACCCACGGATTGGAATCGTATTGGAATCGTATTGGAACCGTACTGGAATCGTATTGGAATCGTATTGGAATTGTATTGGAATCGTATTGGAACCCACGGATTGGAACCGTATGGGAATTGTATTGGAATTGTATTGGAACCGTATTGGAGCCGTATTGGAACCCACGGGTTGGAACCGTATTGGAATTGTATTGGAATTGTATTGGAACCGTATTGGAACCGTATTGGAATCGTATTGGAGCCGTATTGGAACCCACGGATTGGAACCGTATTGGAATTGTATTGGAATTGTATTGGAACCGTATTGGAACCGTATTGGAACCCACGGATTGGAACCGTATTGGAATTGTATTGGAATTGTATTGGAACCGTATTGGAACCGTATTGGAACCCACGGGTTGGAACCGTATTGGAATTGTATTGGAATTGTATTGGAACCGTATTGGAACCGTATTGGAACCCACGGATTGGAACCGTATTGGAATTGTATTGGAATTGTATTGGAACCGTATTGGAACCGTATTGGAACCCACGGGTTGGAACCGTATTGGAATTGTATTGGAACCGTATTGGAATCGTATTGGAACCGTATTGGAACCCACGGATTGGAACCGTATTGGAATTGTATGGAATTGTATTGGAACCGTATTGGAACCGTATTGGAATCGTATTGGAGCCGTATTGGAACCCACGGATTGGAACCGTATTGGAATCGTATTGGAACCGTATTGGAACCCACGGATTGGAACCGTATTGGAATTGTATTGGAACCGTATTGGAACCCACGGATTGGAACCGTATTGGAATTGTATTGGAACCGATTGGAACCGATTGGAACGTATGGAACCGATTGGAACCGATTGGAATCGTATTGGAATCGTATTGGAATCGTATTGGAACCCACGGATTGGAACCCACTGACTTGCCTTGATGGCCTAGTGGTTAGTGTGACCGCGTTCGGAATTGCTCCTAGTCTTGCGCTTGGTTTAAACCCCCTTACTGTCCATTGTTTACTTTTTTATTTCAATAACAAAAACTATTTTTTAGGGTTTTAAATAAGTTAAACATTAGTTAATTAACCGACTGGCTTAATTTAAGGCTTAACTAACTTATCAAAAGAGCAAATAAAAATCTCGTTTTCTAAACGAAAGTAAAGTAAAGTAAACCAAAGTGTTTACCGTGAGAAAATCGATTTCAGTGCACCAGGTGGGTGCGTTTACAAATCGAGAGCTTTGAAGAACACAAAGCACCAAAAAGCATTTGAACGAACTTGTGTATGGCGGTAGTCGGAGTCCGGCTTTATCCCCGCAAACTCCAGACGACAAGACCAACGAATCGAGCGACGTCATCGGCGCCGAGTGTTTCCATTTCAACTCGTAGACTAACTGAATGAATTGTTTTATTGAATGAAAAAGATTTCATCGTTTTACCTTGAATGCTGGCCTTAATCCTTTCAAATTCAATCGAAAATCAATCCATTTTTCTTTTTCCATTTTCTCAGTCTCAATCTTGATGAGCTCTTCTTTTCGGAAAGTTCTCTCATCTTCGAGAAAAACGGAGAATATTGCTAGAATTTGAATTTAATATGGAAATTAAAATAAGAATATTAAAATACCATCATTATCCTCTTTTTCTTTCATTTGAATCGAAAATCTGACGCAAAGTGAATGCGATTTTTGCATGTGAAACGTCGGTGTGATGAGATGAGAAGAATGAGATGATGGAGAGAGTGAGGGATTGATCGACATCACGTAATGACCTGCGAATGAGTATTGCATTCAGATACAGTCAAAGTTTAAAGCTTAAAGCGACACTAGCTAATTGCTAGTGTCGAATTTCTAAATGCCTTGCTTTGCTTTGCCGTAGTCAAAGCTTTGCTGTAGTCAAAGATGTGTCAAACAAGGATCAGTTTCCCAGAGCAATAGCCTCAGCCTGGGCCCTTGATTTGGTTCATAACCCGGCTTCAAGGCCAGGGAATGGCCAAAGGCCCAAGGGAATGACCAGAAGTGGCTGTGAACGTTTGGGAGGAGTGATCCAGAGAGAAAGACTTGGCGCATCTAATAATATCAAGAACACTTAAATTGGACAGCCCAAAGCCAAGATATTTGAGCTCAAAGTTAGACTACCAATAGCGAAGTGGGCGCCCCGTTTGCCATTGACACTCTAACTTTAAGCTCAAATTTCTCGGTGTTGGGTTGTCCAATCGCAATCATCTTTGTACCAATCGATAGAGAAAGTCTTGGTGCATCTAATGATATGAAGCACTTAGAAATTGAACAGCCCAACACCAAGTTATTTGAGCTTAAAGTTAGCTTGGCAAAAGGGGGCTTTAGCTTGCGAATGGCAAAAGGGTGGCGGAGAGAATTATTCATTTTTCGTGTAATAACGATCGTTGGGAGGGAAAACGACGAATTCAGTGCCCCAAACGAGTGCGTTTACAAAGATTGTTTACAAAGACGAAGCACAAAGAAGCACAGAGACCAAAGAAAAGTCTAAAGAAACCGACCCGCATTCGCTTTCAAATGTCCTTTGATTCTCTCCCATCTCGTGTCACCAATCGTTTTCATTCCACACAAATCTTTCTCGAAACCACAAATCCAATCGTATCTCGAGATCTCGGCTTTTTGATCTAAACCTTTTGATTTAAACCTTTTTAAATAACAAATAAGATAACAAAGATAACAAATAATATAACAAATAATATAACAAATAATATAACAAATAATATACCCTAAAGTCTCGAGTATAAGTTGATCCGAGTATAAGTTCTGCCTTAATTTCCATTCGCTTTAATTGCTTTGAATTTCTTTTTGTTGGGTTTTTATACATTTTTATTGTTATATGAACTTTTATTATTGTTCTTGGAGGGCGGGATACTACAGGGTGACAGCCTATCACCATTGCTATTTGTTATGTGCATGGATACATCCAGACGATAGGGTTGAAGAAGACGCTGGAAAGCATCTCTTTCGACCGTCGACGTGGACTTTGGCCGGATGAAGAGGCCAGAGAGGGATCCATAAGACTGAGCACTGGAGAGGGCGGACGCGCCGAGCCACGCTTTCTGGTTCCAATACGGTTCCAATACGGTTCCAATACGGCTCCTTTTTTGATCTAATACAGTTCCAATACGGTTCCTTTTTTGATCTAATACAGTTCTTTGACCGGATCAAGAGGCCAGGGAGGCTTCCATAAGACTGAGCACCGGAGAGGAGCAGGGCGGACGCGCCGAGCCACGCTTTCCGGTTCCAATACGGTTCCAATACGGCTCCTATTTTGATCTAATACAGTTCCAATACGGCTCCTTTTTGATCTAATACAGTTCTTTGGCCGGATCAAGAGGCCAGGGAGGCTTCCATAAGACTGAGCACCGGAGAGGAGCAGGGCGGACGCGCCGAGCCACGCTTTCTGGTTCCAATACAGTTCCAATACGGCTCCTATTTTGATCTAATACGGTTCCAATACGGTTCCAAGAATAAATAACAGCATAAAATTGCTATAACCCTCAATAAATTTACTTCTATTATTGTTCTTAAAAAGCAAAAAAGTTATGCAGCAGCGGGGTTCGAACCCTCGACACACCGCACCGGAGACAGCCGTCAATTTGCATGCGAAAACCAAATAGAACTTATACTCGCGACTTTAGGGTAACAAATAAGATTTCTTTGAGTTTTTACAAAGATTTTACAAAAGCAAAGCAAAGCAAAAGAAGAAAAAAAACAAACTTGGCCTAAGGAAACCTTTACGATACCAATGAGGGACTAAAGACTTCTATATTTTAAATATTCTAAAGGATTCTTCTGTAGATTCTTCTGTAGATTCAAAACTGTAGCCTATTTTTACTCATTTAGACTTTTTTGCATTATTGAATATCAAAATCAACCTTGTGGGGTGAGCACAATGTCCCGGATACTCCACGGAGACTCACGACCATTCCCATCAATCACCTGTAATACGAAATCTTGTGAAAAACCTCTCTACACTTGTAGAAATCAAAAATGAATAGCTTTAGCTATTGGTTTATTCCTAGAGTAAGAATTTAGTTGTATCCACCATGTAGACGTTGATAAATAGCTCAGAATCCGGCCCTGAAGCCAATGCTTGAAACCAAATAGGATAGAAGCTATTGGCAAGTTCTAGAAAACCAAGTTCTAGAAAAATCAGATTGTTCAAGACAGATTGGTTGATTTTGGACTTGAATCTAGCCATGGGATTTCCATGGATCTTTTCCTAGCCTTGTTCTGGATTTGGAACCATTTCCAACTCTCGGGCTTGGCTTGTTTTGAAAAGACTCCCACAAGCCAGCTCGAGCTATTTAGATTGGACAATAGTCATCAAGCTATCAGCTTCCTAGCCATAGTTCTTCCTGTGGAAGATAAAGGAATTATTCCGGTCTTAAATGCTTATATAGCTTTTAAGTATTTAAGCTTTTAAGCATTTAAGTGCTTAAAAGCCTGAGCTAAGTGGGCGGAGCTTCGCATCCTTCGGAGTTTTCTTTCTCGATTTTCTCTGGCTTCTTTCACCCAATCGACCTCTTTTTGGTATCATTTGAAAGCCCCAAGTGTCCTCTATGCAACTATATCAAATGTTTACTAAAATATGATCTCTAGGCAAAGTTATAGACGCTTGTTGCAGGGGAATCTGGGCTGGCTTGATCACTTGGTTTAAGCCTAAGCCTAAGCCAAGCCAAGCCTAAGCCATAAGCCTAAGCCTGAGCCTAAGCCAAGCCCAAGCCTAAGCCATAAGCCTAAGCCTAAGCCTAACCCCTAAGCCTAAGCCTTAAGCCTAAGCCTTAAGCCTAAGCCTAAGCCTCAAGCCCAAGCCAAGCCTAAGCCATAAGCCTAAGCCTAGCCTAAGCCTAAGCCTAAGCCCTAAGCCTAAGCCCTCAGCCTAAGCCTAAGCCTAAGCCTTCAGCCTAAGCCCTAAGCCTAAGCCTTAAGCCTTCAGCCTAAGCCTAAGCCTTAAGCCCAAGCCCTAAGCCTAAGCCTTAAGCCCTAAGCCTAAGCCCTGTTTGGCCAGTGCCCCAAAGCCAAAAACTACTCTTTCACTTGCTAGAAAGTGTGATTTGACTTGTTCTCAATCTTTAAACCAAAACATTCACCTTCACGGCCACTTCGTATTCCCTTCCTGGCAACAGATTAACCAATTTCGCGTTTCTCCCATTCACGCGCAGCTTCTCGTGATGATCTGTTTGGTAGAGACCGTACCTAAAGTATCAATAGTTTTTATTTTAAACGTTCCTTTAGAATTTTGTTTGTCAACTTTGTCAATTTGTCAACTGTAGATGTCGTAATTCTTCTATTAGAAAGACATGCTCATTCGAACGAGGATTGACAAGAGGAGAACGAGGATTGACAAGAGGAGAACGAGGATTTACAAGAGGAGAACGAAGATGGTGTTCAAGAAGTTCAAGAAGTGTTCAAGAAGTAGATGCAGCTGGTGAAGAACAAAACGCTGACGATGGAGAAGATGCAGCTAGCAATGCTCTTTCTATATCTTTCTATTGTTTTTAAGATTTATTAATGTTTTTTAGGTGTGCTCTATTTGAACGAGGATTTGAAAGATTTAAGATTTAAGGTTTAAGATTTAAGGTTTAGGATTTAAGGTTTAAGATTTAAGATGCAAGATTTAAGATGCAAGATTTAAGGTTTAGGGTTTAAGGTTTAAGGTTTAAGGTTTAAGGTTTAAGGTTTAAGGTTTAAGGTTTAAGATTCAAGATTTAAGATTCAGGCTTGAAGACTCAAGGCTCAAGGCTCAAGATTCAAGCATCAGGGCTCAAGATTCAAGCTTCAAGCTTCAAGATTCAAGATTCAAGGCTCAAGATTCAAGCTCCAAGCTTCAAGATTGAAGACTCAAGGCTCAAGGCTCAAGGCTCAAGACTCAAGGCTCAAGGCTCAAGGCTCAAGGCTCAAGGCTCAAGGCTCAAGGCTCAAGGCTCAAGGCTCAGGGCTCAGGGCTCAAGGCTCAAGGCTCAAGGCTCAAGGCTCAGGGCTCAGGGCTCAAGGCTCAGGGCTCAAGGCTCAAGGCTCAAGGCTCAAGGCTCAAGATTCAAGCTTCAAGTTTTGCAAATCATGTTCAAGTAGATGTTCAAATGATGTTCAAGTAGATGCAGCTCGTGAAGAACAAAACGCTGACGCTGACAAAACGCCGCTGGCAAAACAGCAATTCTATATTCTCGTCAAACTTTTAATCCTTCAACCAAATTGAAAATCATCAAGTACACAAAGAAAACATCAACCAATGCTGTCTCAAAACTTTGGAATCACAAGATCAACGATCATTGATTCAACGATCATTGATCAACGATTATTGCTTGAAGACAGCAATGAGCTTTGAAAAATAGAATGACAGCATTGTTTGATGCTGATGTGCTCTATTAGAACGACGGTTTTTAGAGGTATTGAAAAATAGAACGACATTTCGTTCTAGTAGAAAAACTTTCAATAGAAGAACATCTTGAAAAGCTTCTTTAACCCACTGCACGATGTAATGTCTTCCCGTTCCGTCGACTCGATTCTCCTCACGTCTTTCCGGATTCGGATCCTCCCAGCTCACCTAGAAGATACGATTTTTAAAGTATACAATAAGCATTACTAGAAGATGTAAAAATTATATGAAATTGAATTATATGATATTCAATTATATGAGATTCAATTATATTATTTATTTCTTTACCTCAACAAGTCTTTCCTTTGCCAAAGCTCTCACAGCTATTGGAGGCCATAATGAGAAAGCACCTTTCTCCTCTGAAAAGTTGTTACAGTATACAGCAATCTGGATACAGTAATCTAGATACAGTAATCTGGATACAGTAATCTGGATACAGTAATCTGGATACAGTAATCTGGATACAGTAATCTAGCTACTGTAATCTAGATGCAGCAGCCTGGATACAGTAATCTGGATACAGCAATCCTTGAATGCAGCTACAGTTACGGTAACAAGTACAGTGCTCCTAACAGTAGCAAGTGCAGTACTCCTAACTACTAAAAGTAGTGCTGTAAGTCTGAGAGTGATCCGGGATCCATTCTCAGAGTGATCCATTGAAAACTCTCACTACTATCGTCATCGCTGAGCGTTTTCCCTGTAAGAAGGACTTTTTCCCCGTCTTCTCCATCAGCTTCATTGTAGGCGTTCACCGCGAAAACATATGTTGTTGAGGGTTCTGGAATTAGATGGAAAATCTAATTCTGATCAAATTCGAATAGCCAAAGCCGGCTAGCAGGCTAGCAGGCTAAAAATGAAATAACCGTTTGGGATGATCCATTCGATAGATCTCATGATGATCTATTAAATGCAAAAGAGATCTTTCAGAAATATTGATTCAGTAAAAAGTTGACGAGGGTGAAAAACGCTCCTTGTCCCATTTCTCGTTGTACAGGTACTTTTAGCAGCTAATTTTGATCATCAATGTTCATCATGAGATCTATCGACTCATCCCAAATGGTCACATTCACTTCTGACCATTCCCTTGCAAGTCTGGCTAGGCAGTGTGCCACCAAAAAGCTGCCGCAATCGCAATTTTGATAGGTGATAGCCATGAGTCAGCTATTGGATTTGCATAGAAATATCTGAGCAAACCACGAGCCAGGTCTGGACCTGGCCATGCCTTGAACTGGTCATGCCTTGGATCTGGCTCTGGAGCTGGGTCTGGCTCTGGAGCTGGATCTGGCTCTGGGTCTAGATCTGGCTCTGGAGCTGGACCTGGCTCTGGAGCTGGACCTGGCTCTGGAGCTGGACCTGGCTCTGGAGCTGGACCTGGCTCTGGAGCTGGACCTGGCTCTGGAGCTGGACCTGGCTCTGGAGCTGGACCTGGCTCTGGAGCTGGACCTGGCTCTGGAGCTGGACCTGGCTCTGGAGCTGGACCTGGCTCTGGAGCTGGACCTGGCTCTGGAGCTGGACCTGGCTCTGGAGCTGGACCTGGCTCTGGAGCTGGACCTGGCTCTGGAGCTGGACCTGGCTCTGGAGCTGGACCTGGCTCTGGAGCTGGACCTGGCTCTGGAGCTGGACCTGGCTCTGGAGCTGGACCTGGCTCTGGAGCTGGACCTGGCTCTGGAGCTGGACCTGGCTCTGGAGCTGGACCTGGCTCTGGAGCTGGACCTGGCTCTGGAGCTGGACCTGGCTCTGGAGCTGGACCTGGCTCTGGAGCTGGACCTGGCTCTGGAGCTGGACCTGGCTCTGGAGCTGGACCTGGCTCTGGAGCTGGACCTGGCTCTGGAGCTGGACCTGGCTCTGGAGCTGGACCTGGCTCTGGAGCTGGACCTGGCTCTGGAGCTGGACCTGGCTCTGGAGCTGGACCTGGCTCTGGAGCTGGACCTGGCTCTGGAGCTGGACCTGGCTCTGGAGCTGGACCTGGCTCTGGAGCTGGACCTGGCTCTGGAGCTGGACCTGGCTCTGGATCTAGATCTGGCTCTGGATCTAGATCTGGCTCTGGAGCTGAACCTGGCTCTGGATCTAGATCTGGCTCTGGAGCTGGAGCTGGAGCTGGCTTTGGAGCCGGAGCTGGCTCTTGAGCTGGACCTGGCTCTGGATCTAGATCTGGATCTAGATCTGGCTCTGGAGCTGGAGCTGGAGCTGGCTCTGGAGCTGGACCTGGCTCCGGATCTAGATCTGGATCTAGATCTGGCTCTGGAGCTGGATCTAGATCTGGAGCTGGAGCTGGCTCTGGAGCTGGATCTGGACTTGGACCTAGACCTAGACCTGAACCTGGTCATGGCTCAGAACTTGGTCTTGACCTTGACTTGACTTGACCGTAACCTGAACTAAACCAGAATTTGTTTTTAAACCGGTCATACAAATGGAGCGGACCTGGATATAAGCCTGGATTTAGACCCGGACCTGGGCTTAGACCTGGGCTTTGACTTTGGCTTAGACCTTGACTTAGACCTAGGCTGACCCTAACCGGCCCTGACATGGCTTCTAACTGGAGCACAGCCTGCTGTGTAATGCCAAAATTCTCACTTAATCTCTCAATCGTAAACGAGTTCGTGTTTGGGCCCTCGATAACAATTTTGCTGCTCGGAGTGCCGATTCCATAGGAAACTGCGTAACTGAAATTTCCTCAACGTTAATCTCTTCTTTAAAGATCGGAATTTGAGTTATGTTGTTCTTTCTTGTATTTGAATGATTATTTCTGATTGTTGTATGATTTCTGATGTTTATGATGTTCAGACTTGGTAAAACAAACCCCCTGACGAGTATCCGATCACTCGTTGATGGTTGATCCCACCAGAGAGTCGCTGAATGAGCCGTCGTTCGAACGTGCACATTTTCCGGCGAATCAGGCACACGATCTTCTAGAAATTAGCTAACTAGCTAAGAAATTAGCTTTCAATTCAACAAAGCTATTCATAGCTTTACATTAAGATACTTCTTCTTTAGCCTTTTCAGGACAAGACTAGAGTCTGCGCTGATTTCACTAGGCTGACAGGAAGCTGACAGTCTGGGCTGACTCAAGCCAACTCAAGCCAAGTCAAGCCTAGCCTCGCTCTGGCTCCAGCTCTGGCTCTAGCTCTGGCTCCAGCTCTAGCTCTAGCTCTGGCTCCAGCTCTGGTTCTAGCTCTGGCTCTAGCTCTGGCTCTAGCTCTGGCTCCAGCTCTGGTTCCAGCTCTGGCTCTAGCTCTGGCTCCAGCTCTAGCTCTAGCTCTGGCTCCAGCTCTGGTTCTAGCTCTGGCTCCAGCTCTGGCTCTAGCTCTGGCTTCTAGACTTCCGTAACCTTTTTCTTTAGTGTAATTTGTGCACAAAATCTGGAAACACACCCTTTCTAGTGCACTCGGTTCCTTAATTTGCACTGAACTCGATTCTTTTCATTAGCAAGATTTCTCCAGACTTTTCTCTGTCAAAATTGGGGAAAATCTGAAAGATTATCTATTCTCAAAGAATTGTGAAACATTTGATACTCGCTCCACCTCTTTTTATACGCCCCGCCCCTTTTTACACTCCCCGCCTCTTTGCCATTGGCAATCGAACTTTGAGCTCAAATTTCTCGGTGTTGGGTTGTCCAATTGAAATCATTTTTATACCAATCGATAGAGAAAGACTTGGCAAATCTAATGATACCTAGCACTTATAAATTGAACAACCCAACACCAAGATATTTGAGCTCAAAGTTAGACTGCCAATAGCGAAGGGGGCGCCCCGTTTGCCATTGGCAATCTAACTTTGAACTCAAATTTCTCGGTGTTGGGTTGTCCAATTGCAATCATTTTTATACCAATCGATAGAGAAAGACTTGGCGCATTTAATGATACCAAGCACTTATAAATTGAACATCCCAACACCAAGATATTTGAGCTCAAAGTTCGATTGCCAATGGCAAGGGGGGCGCGCGTCTCAAGTGTCCGTTAACCTTTTCAAAGTACCGTAGTCCTAATGATTTGTTTAAAGTACAGCTAATTGTACTTTTTTTCTCTCTAAATAATCCATTTTCGGGGTATTATTGAGTAATTTAAGTAAAATTTAGGTGTTCACCATTTCGATTTTTTCTTTTTTTCCCAAGATTCCCATTCAATTAAATCCCTTTTAAAAGCGCTTGAAATTTAAATTCGAAAAATTTATGTTAATCTTCGAGATTCGGAGAGAAAAAGAAGAAAAAAAGAAAAAAAAGAAAAAAAGAAAAAAGCTTGTTTTTGAAAAGAAAAAAGACATAACTTTAAGTATTTTTTAACTTTTTAAAATTGAAGTCCGTTTAAATTGAAGTCCGTTTAAGTTTAAGTCCTTTTAAATTTAAGTTCGTTTAAATTGAAGTTCGTTTAAATTGAAGTCCTTTTAAATTGAAGTTCGTTTAAATTGAAGTCCTTTTAAATTGAAGTCCGTTTAAATTGAAGTCCGTTTAAGTTTAAGTTGAAGGTTCCGTTTAAGTTTAAGTTGAAGTTTAGGTTTAAGTTTAACATAAAGTATGTATTTCAACTCGTTTTTTTTTACTCACACAGATTCGTTTATGTTGTTAGTGTGGTTGGGAATTTGGAAAAGGAAAAAAAAGATTCACGAATAGGTAGAAAAGTTGAGGGGAAAAGGGAGTTATAATGAAATCAGAAAGGAAAATTTTCGGCAAGTAGGATTCGACGAAGAAAGGAGAAAAGAAAGAAAGGAGCAAAGAAAGAAAGGAAAAGAAAGAAAGGAGAAAGAAAGAAAGGAGCAAAGAAAGAAAGAAAGAAAGAAAGGAGCAAAGAAAGAAAGAAAGGAGAAAGAAAGGAAGGAAAGAAAGAAAGGAATGAATGAAAGGAAAGAAAGAAAGGAAAGGAAGAAAGGAAAGAAAGAAAGAAAGTAAGTAAACCCGTCAATTTCTTAAAGAAATTTTGAAAACGAATACATTTTCAGTGTGCCAGAAATGGGCGTTTACAAGAGCACATGTTTATGCTCTCGGAAACGCACACTTTCTGGTATACCTTTTGGTATACTTTCTGGTATACTTTCCGGTTTTTCAAGCAAAGAAAGAAAGCAAGGAGAAAGAAAAGAAAGAAAGCAAGGAGGAAGAAAGGAAAGAAAGAAAAGAAAGAAAGAAAAGAAAGAAATAAAGAAAGAAAGAAAGAAAGAAAGGAAGAAAGAAAGAAAGAAAGAAAGAAAGAAAAGGAAGAAAGGAAAGGAAAGGAAGAAAGGAAAGAAAGAAAGAAACCCCGTCAATTTCTTGAAGCTCTCGGAAACGTACACTTTCTGGTATACTTCCTGGTATACTTTCTGGTATACTTTCTGGTTTACTTTTTACTTTCAAGTAGAGTCTAATAGCTAGAAAATAAGCAAAAAAAAAAACAAAACAAACACTAGCTTCTTTACTAGTTACCATTTTTTGTACAAGATTTTACGCAAACGTGCAAATTTCATTTCATTAATTTTGGTCCACCAGAGAGCTGTTTGTTTTTAAAATTTTCGAGCACAAAGTACACTTTGAAAAGCCTTTTAAAAGCCTTTAAAAAGCCCTTGAAAAACCTTTTAAAAGCCTTTAAAAACCCTTTAAAAAGCCTTCCAAATTTCCCCTTCATTTATCTCACTTTTCATGTCAATCTTTTCATCGCATTTCCTCAAAAGAAGACGGGTTTTTTTTTCTTCTTTTACTTCAATTTCCTCAAAAACATCGCAGGTGGTCAATTCGAATGAATGAATGAATGAATGAATGAATGAATGAATGAATTTTGGAAATTATAAGCAATAAGTAATAAATGTTTGAGTAAACTACAAACTACAGTTTAAGTAAACTACAGTTTGAGTAAACTACAGTTTAAGTAAACTACGTTTGAGTAAACTACAGTTTAAGTAAACTACAGTTTGAGTAAACTACAGTTTAAGCAAACTACAGCTTGAGCAAACTACAGTAATACCAGTTTAAACTTCAATTACCGTAAGACAGAGCTTAACTTTAGCTGAATATCTATTGTTTAAATAGGGGGGGGCGGCCTGGTAACCTTATCTTATAGTACCCTTTTTTATCACATTATTGTTTTTCAATAAATGTATTTTTAAAAATCGAGATTTATTTAGATTTAGAGTTAATCTCGGTGAACCGAAAGATACTGACAGATTGAGCCTTGCCTTCCTGTAGTTTTACATTATTTTAAACGGCTTAAACTACAGTAGCCCAGTAATTCTACAGTAAATCGATCTTAAAGCGACTGTAAAAAGATACTATAAGCTAAGATCTTAAAGCTTTAGCTTACAGTATCTTTTTATCTAAAATACCTGGGAACCCTCGGAATTTTCCGAGTATCTCGATTTTTAGGTCTTTTTCGAGAAAGTAGACCAATCTCGGCGAATGACCGGAAGTTTGAAGGAAGAGCAAGCGCAAGAAAGAGCAAGAGCAAGAAAGAGCAAGAGAGAGAGAGAGTGTGAACCGATCTCAATCTCATCCAATCGTCTCCAAAAGAAGAGAAACAACACTCAACAAGAATTTGGGCTAAAAGACCTGCCGTTGCCCCGTCTATTAGCACATTAGGGTGGTGAGGCATGGATTGGGGTTCTGCTCTTGATGCCAGATGGAGGCGACAATCCCCTTTCATCGAACTTTTCGCGCGTAATTTAGAAAATTAGTGTGAAGCTTTCGAGATTCCCTGCAGAATTCAATAGAATTACGGGTTGGTTTTTTTTTTGTTTAGACAAGTTCAAGTCGCACAACAAAAAAAACTTCTGGAATATGTTTCTCATTCAAATTTCCCCCATAACCATATCCGTTTCTTTAGTAGAACAGAACAAATAATTATACGCTAAAAAGCATTTCACCTGATTGTCCATCAATCAATCGACACAAATGAGAGAATAGAAAAAGCTGAAGGATCGCTCTCATTGTCCCCGTTTCGGCATTCAACCTTTCTCCATCGTTGTGGAAATTTGTTTGCAGTGTTTGAAGCGCTGAAAATTCGCAATCAGAGAAGTACTAGCGTTTAAGGACAAAAATGGGACATGGTTGTAAATTATTACGAGCATGTAGAAGAGGAAAAGCGCCGAAAAGAGACAAGCACATTTTTGATAGTTCACGATAAATGCTCGAGATGGGTTTCTTTGGGGGGAGAAGCGAAGAAAAAAAAGAAGTGATTGTAGAGAGAAAAGATGGGCAAGGAATGGATCACTCGACGATTATTTTTCAACCGATGCGTCACACTGCCCGAAACAGAAGAGAAGAAAAACGGAGAGCAGGCCTATATTTGGGTGGTTCTTTTTTCGGTGTACTAAAAGAGAAACAGATATGGAAAAGAAGTTTCACATAGGGTTTTTAATGAGTCCTGAGCGCTGAGAAAGCTTCAAAGGCATTGCCAGTACATTCACAGCTTCCACAAAAGAAGATAATAGCATTCAGCTAAAGTCGCTTTCAAAACCAATTCGACGAGTTCGTGAGATGTGAAAAGAACATTATTAAATCAGGTGGTGCGCGAAAGGGACCAAGTCTCTCTATGGCACCTCCAAATCCTCACAGGGTCCTAGCCACGCCCACAAAGCTTCAAAGGATCCTCAGCTACGACCGCTGTATTATCTGAATCTTGCACTGCAATGTATTTAAGGGAACTCATTGAATTAGAATTACCAACAATTTATTTAACGAACAAAATCAATTAAGGGAAAAGTGGATCGGGGAATTCAAACGTCACATCTTTGCCGGTGAGCTTCTTGTAAACAATGGAGAAAGTGTCAACTTTGTGTTCTACGTTCGTCTGTTGAGTCTTGTCCAAGTGGCACTAAAAAAATTAGTTAGAAAAGCTCGAGAAATGTAGTCTCAAGAATTAATCTGGTTTAACAGTCGACCCTGTTCATGCATGCCACCGCTTAGCCTATGCGGAGGTATTCTACGGCGTTTAATTACTATCTCCTTTGAAAGCTGCAAACCCGTCAAAGTTCAAACACGATTTCTCTGGTTAATAAAGACTTTAACGGCCAAATGATTTCCGCGACCAAGTTGTCCGTTAAACAACAAAACTTTAGCCCACCTTGATAATTCTCTTTCCATCAGTCTTGACTCGGATACGTTTTCCAACAATTTCAGCAGGGAAGCAGATATCGTCAAGGATCGCATCATGAACAGCAGTGAGAGTGCGAGAACGCGGTCGCTTTTGCTTCTCGGGAACCCTCTTGGTACCACGTTGGGGCTTAGGAAGGATGCGTCTCTAAAAATAAAAGATCAATCCGAGAATCAATGTTTATGGTAGTAGGTGGTTTTTCAGGAGATCAAATTATTCAATTGTTGACAGAACACCTGCTATCATTGAATGGAGAGTGCCGATCAGATAGCGAATCTAGCTAGACACTTGATTTGGTTGATGCCACCACATTAATACTCCTTAATGTTCTTTCCACCACGTAGTCACGTGTTGGAAACGCCATAGTAAGGCTAATTTGTCCTAGCAAAAGATAATAAGAACATTCGTTATGTCGGATATAGCAGATCTTATCAAAAGCTGACCCATTTGAACAGAACGAGCAGGCTAAAACAAACCTTAGCAATGAAGACAACGTGCTTTCCTCCAAGCTTCTTCTCGAGCTCTCTGATCAATCGGATTTGGATCTTGTTGAAGAGCTTCAACTGTGGCACGGGGACAAAGACGACGACAATCTTCTTTTGTTGGAATTCGATCTCCTAAAACAAAAATATTATTGGAAATAAAGAGCGCGTAATACTTTATTCTTCGGCTTTCTTAAGACGGCTAAATATTTTCTGGCGTTGCATTTTATGATATATCTTCTTACAAAGCTTACAAGCACAAAAGTTTGCTAATCTATAATACTTCCAGACTCGAGACTAGCAACAAAGTTTGCTTTAATCTTTCTTTAAAGCATTGAGTTAAACAACCTAGGACTAGTTACCAGCACCTTCCATGACGCACTTAGTTTCAAACGCAAAAAAAAGCCAACCTTGACACCAACGATGTACAATTCCCGAAGTTGGCCCTTGATTTCTGCATTGCTCTCCAAATCGCTCAGAGCTCCAGCGATTTGCTTCTCGATTTCCGAGGGTGTCTGTCCGGCTGGCAGAACCAACTTGTTGCCTTCTGTCATACTTAACCCGAGTCTGAAATGAACAAGATTAATACTAGAATAAAAAATAGCAAAAGAAAAGGCAAGAAAGTCAAACGAAATGTTACTTTCAAAAGATTAACAGGGTGTCAAAACATAAAAGCCCGCCAAAATCGGCTGATCTTAACAAATTTGGCAACTATAGTCGGTCTTCGATATCACGAACACATTTTTCGTCCCAATGAAGGGTTTTACCTTATAAATGACCTTTGATACCACGAACACTTCGATAAAAGAACTTTTTGGCCGGTTCCTCGAGGTTTGCTATATCAAAGTTCAACTATATTGTTAAAAACTTTAGGATGGATTTGATTTCCAAAATCAATACTGCATTAAAACGATGAAATTACAATTTTTCTACTAAAAACATCAAAACACAACGAAGGCTTTTAAAAATGCAATAATTTTGCTTTAGGAAGTTTTTTCTCTTAAAATGAAAAATCTTTTCCGAGAGGCAATTTTCTACAGTACCCTGATTTGGCAAGGTTTTGGCGGCGACGAGCGCGGTCGCGAAATAAAAAGGAGGATGAGTGGTATTTAGGAAGGAAAGCCAGCGCAACTTTACCAGCTCAACTCAACTTGCATTTGAGTGTTTTCCATGTGAAAAGTGATGATTTACATTTAGTGGCCAAATTTTAGGAAATGATGGACCTGGGAGAGTCATTTCTACAATTCTTTACCTTCAATATTGAGTGGGAAAATGGTCAACGTTCCTGCTTTTATCGATAAACTTCTTTCTGGTGGGTTTTTGTGTTCTTTGATTATTTTTAAGAGGGATTTATGGGATAGTTGCTAGAATAGATCCCTAGTTTTGTCTGAGACATGATTTTACAGCTGTAAACGTTTAATTCTATGCTACCAGCAAGCTTTAGTACTATAGTATTAGGTTGGCAAGTTATAAACGATCGTTTTTTTGGTAATGTGTTTTCTGAAAAAACGGCTTATCCAATCAAAAAACGGTTTGCTTGATTCAAAAGCCCTATCCTTAATCTACAAAATGGCTTTTTTGAATTTTTGAAAAATGTTTTATTTTAGAACTTTTTCAGGCATTTTAGAGTTTCAGGCAAGAGTTCAAAATCCTGGTTTCTAGCATTCATGAGCTATTATATTTTTGAGTGATTGCATACTTTTTAAAATAAAACGCTTCATCGATTACATAGTTTCCTAAAATTTCAGAACAATCCAATCGATCGAACCGTTCTCTTTCTTTTAATCTTTTTTTTTTAATCTTGCTTAAATTCAAACGAAAATGGATTAAATTAGCACAAAAGTGCATTTTGAGCCTAATTTGAAAATCAACCTTCCGAAGATTGGATTGTTCTGAAATGTTGGGAAACTATGTAATCGATGAAGCGTTTTATTTTAAAAAGTATGCAATTACTCAAAGATATAATAGCTCATGAATGCTAAAAACCAGGATTTTGAACTCTTTAAAATGCCATTAATTACATTAAAATGCCTGAAAAAGTTCTAAAATAAAACATTTTTCAAAAATTCAAAAAAGCCATTTTGTAGATTAAGGATAGGGCTTTTGAATCAAGCAAACCGTTTTTTGATTGGATAAGCCGTTTTTTTCAGAAAACACATTACCCAAAAACGATCGTTTATAACTTGCCAACCTAATAGTTGGGCGGGAGGTGTACATTTATCTCTATTGAGCCAGAGCGCATGAATTTTTGCTTCTAGGGTTTTTAATGGCGATTCTTAATGTTTGTTATTTATTTAAGCTTTAGTGACTATTTTCTAACTATTTCAAGCAGTTACTGAGGTTTTAAGCCTCTTAATTCAGCCCCACACCTCTAAATCCAGTGAAAATAGAGCCACTCTTGAAGGCTAGGAATCGTTGCTGAAACTGGCATAAAAGTTGTTCAGAATGGTTTATAAACGCTTCCAATGGATTCAGTACAATTAATTACCCCAGAAAAAGTTTTTAAAACTAGTGGTAAGTTCGAAAAAACAGGTGTTTACAAACTGCCCCCGCCCCCCGACTACTATAGCACCCAAGTTTTGCCTAAACTTTCAACCCATCGTCAAATATTCTACAAGATATCTGTTTTACTTGAATTTACTGACTTTTTGGAAAATATCAAGCCAAATTTGTAAAAAGACTTTGTTAGATGCATAAGAATTAAAGCAAAAAAAAGCCAAAACTTTGACAAATGTTTGTTTTTAGTAAACGACCTCACGCAAGCCTCACTTACAAGAAGCATCAACGAGAAAGAGCTGGATGAGGTATCTTTCATTTCAAATTTAAGAATTTTGTACAAAGAGGTTGCTTTGATCTTTGATCTTCTTTCGAAATAACTTGTTGAAGAGTTGAAGAGAATCTCTTCTTTTAGGTGATTCTCGAATGTAAGCAAATCGTGCTTCGGCAGCCGGCCTTCTTGGTGCTCGAGCCACCCATAAATGTAAGATTTCTACCTTTAAACATTTGCAACTCTATTTTTAGTTAGTTGGCGATATCCATGGCCAATACGTCGACTTGTTGAGGATTTTCAATCGGTGTCGATTTCCCAATGACGCAAATTATCTCTTCCTGGGAGATTATGTGGATCGGTAAGCTTTTGCAAATCTCTTTGAAAGTTGTTACCGTAATACCTGTAATAGTAGCGCCCCCATAATAACGTACACGTAGTTGCTAAAGTAAATAGAAGGTTTTGAACGCGCCCAGATAAAATAAACTGTTAATATCAAAAAATTCTTTACTTCAAGCGCTATCTTTTGGTATCTAAGGGCACATTTTTCATTGAAGCAGTGTGGAGAACCGAGCGTCACAAACTTGTGTGAAATGCGAATGTACGAGGGGTACTATTACAGGTATTATGGTAGAGATTTTAACAAGTCAGTTTATTTTAGTGGTCGGCAACAGTTGGAAACGATTGCTTTGCTGATGGCCTACAAAATTCTCTACCCGGACACTTTCTTCATTCTTCGTGGAAATCATGAGAGTCGATCAATTAGCAAGGTGCCATCGTGCAATGTCTAACACGAACATTTTATAATGCCTTTTTTAGGTTTACGGATTTTATGAAGAGTGCAAGAGACGTTACAATGTGCGCCTTTGGGAATCGTTTCAAGTGCGGCTTGAGTTGTTCGCATTTGAATCAAATTTTTCTTTAGGACTTGTTCAACTCGCTGCCATTCGCGGCTTTGGTGGGTGGTCGGATTTTCTGCATGCACGGTGGTCTTTCGCCTAGTCTAAACCAATGGGACCAAATCGACAATGTAAGCGTTTTTCGACACCTTTAATGAAACAATTTTAAGGTTACTCGTCCGGTTGACCCTCCGAACAAAAGTTTGCACATGGTAAGTAATTTTTAACATTTATTGAATTGGTGACTTCTAGTTTCATAACTAACTTGTAATTTTAGGATCTGTTGTGGGCCGATCCCGAACAAGGACATGCTGGTTGGGGAGTAAACACTCGAGGTGTCTCGTATATATTTGGTGAAGACGTCGTCCACGATTTCTGCACCAAAATGGACATTGATCTGATTGCGCGGTAAAATTTATACGTTTGACAAGATGATCGATTGATTTTAGGGGACATCAAGTGGTGCAGGATGGATTTGAGTTCTTCGCTGATCGCAAGCTCGTCACCATATTTTCAGCTCCCAAGTAAGCTTTTTGGTAAACGTATTTTATTTACGAAATTTTAGGTATTGCGGAGAATTCGACAACAATGCGGCTGTTTTGATTGTTGACACGAAGCTCGAGTGCTCGTTTGAGATCTTGAAAGCCACCGATACACAGATTAAGGTATGTGTGGGTTATGATTAATTACACGCAGTCGATTCACCTTTTATTTACTTATTTTTAGATCCGATCAAAGCGAAGAAAAAAGTCGAAGAAGCGCTAAGAAAACGGATGTTTGAACGCGCGATCGAGCAGGCAACAAGACTGATTTTATGTCGACTTTATTTTAGCGCTCTAATAAATTGTACTTGATTGTTTTGATTTTGTTTAAAAAGCACTGTTGATTATTTTCCAATATTTCCATTTCCAATATTTTCGAAGAAATTACACACAGATACAGGATACAATTTTATCGCATCAAGATTTTATTTGAGCTTTCAACTTGCTATTCTTGAAATCAAAAAGTGGTATAATTAAGAACTGGGACATTTTGTGTGGAAGTTAAATTTGCGTTTGTTATTTAATTTGCATAATGAAACTTTGCATTCAAGATTGACTTGTCCAACTTTCAGCCCGATGCCCGCATTCGTATTCTTTTCGCTTTTCTACTCGGCACGATTCTATAAAAAATCTTCGAGATGGGACTTCTTGGGTGAGTTTTTTTTACCTCTTTTTCTTGTAAAATCAACTTACTCCTACTTCCGTGTATTCTTTAATTTTAGAAGAAAAGGCGGCAAAGGCAAGGGCGAAGAGATGAGCCAAGAAGATGTCGAACTGCAGAAACAGATTGACAGCATGACGGTGAGGTGTTGCTTTGTTTTTTCTTTTACGATTAATACGAGAAAGCTTTTGCGCTTTGGAATTGAATGAATAACTTGATTTTGATAATTCATTGAATGAATAACTATGTTTAGACGATTTTCTTGTGTTCGAAGGAAATGGTCGACCAATTTTCCCAGGACAACTCAAAGGTTTGCGATTTTTGCGTCCATTCGAACTTGTTTTTGTTTTAGATTCGCATTCGTGACCCGAACGACTTGCCAATCATTAAGCTGAAAAATACATTTCTTGCGGTACGTTTTGTAGTTTTAATTTTCAACTCGATCCATTTTATAAGCTAGATATGAGATGTTTTTATTTAGACTGAAGTGGGGACAACGATGGAATGGGAAAAAGAATTCCTTCGCCAGGCATCCCTCGTTCTTGATGATATGGCCACACGAGAGAAGGTAGTACTTTAAAATATCAAGTTTATCAAAATATTAAAATATTGTTCGGGTTTGCTCGGGTTTTTTATTTTTCTACATTGTTAATTGTTTAGCAAAGTGCTATCAATTGTTGGGATCGAGCCTGGAATCCGATTCGAGTGTGGTTCGACGATGAATACAAACATTTTATGCTGGTTTGGTTTGACTCATTAGCTCAATAGATTAGATGTATCGGAAGGATTGAACTTAGTTTATTGCTGCCCTTTTAAAGTTTTAAATTTTAGGATGTGAACCGTTGGCCCTCTGTGCGCAAAGAGTTCTACGAGGCTCGACAGAAAAACGCCGCTAAACCCTCGCCCACTAACGACATTCTACTTGAGAAAGCCGCTGAGAAATACAAGTCACAAATGTTAGTTTTTTTTTTGCTGATAATTGGAAAGCAGCTTAAATTGTTTACTTTAGTGAAATCATCACCGGAAAGCTAAGCTCGCAGAAAGATGTCCAGAAACATCACCAGCGATGTATAAATGCGTACTTTCAAGAAATGGTAAAGATTTTCCTGAAAGCCTCTATGACTCTCAACTTTTAGACTGAATTTCATCGTTGCTTTCACCGCAATAACTTGAAGGTTTGTGCTCTGATCGCTTTCTTTTAAGCTTCTAAAATAAGCTTGTTTAGATCCTTGAGCAGTTGCGTGAAGCTGTCAATGCAAACAAGCCCGAGGAAGCGGTGGGCAGGGAGTTTTATGTGAAAATTTGTGAAATGTTTAGCAAGTCTTCGACGAATTGCCAAAAAGTTATGTGGATGCGGTCAATAAGCGTCTCAAATCGGCAAATGTGTGTTACTTTTTTGAGTTTATGGTTCGATTTTGGCATAAAAATCGAATATGATAAAACTTTGCTGAAATCAAAGATTTTTATTGAAAAATTTAATTAACGATCCTTTTGAGCTAATCTTTTTTTTCTTTTAGATGCGTCCTTTTGAGCCTTTTTTTCTTTTAGAAGCGTCCTTTTGAGCTTTTTTTTCTTTAAGAAGCGTCCATCCACCGTCACTTCTTCGTCGACAATGGTTGAAGCAAAAAAGGATACGAGCGCCGTGAAAAATGCCCATTCGCAAGTGTCAACTCCGCCACCACAGTCAAGATCAAAGCCATCCGGACTCAACTCAACGCTCGAATCGAATCAAGCAATGCCGAAATCGAAATCCTTCATGCCGAGTTGGTTGCATTTTTCTTTTTTTCTAGTTTTTAGTAGACTTACTGAAGATATTGGATAATGATTCGAAATTTTTGATACTTAACTTATTCATTTAGTTTGAAAAGCCGACAAATCTCGATGATTCTCGAAGCAAACAAAAATTCTACTTGTATTGTGACTTTTTTAAAAGTGTTGCCATGCCATTCACTTTTTTGCTTTCTAATAAATTGAGTAGCTTTTATTTATGCACAAAAATTTAAACGGCAAAATATCCGTTCTTGTTTATTTATCCTTTTTTGCATTACCGGTAGTAGACTTTCGGAAAGTCGTGTTCGTGCCGTGGATTGTGTCGAGAAGGCCGAGGACACCGAAATTCTCGTTAAAGCTGGAAATGGGGGTTTTTAGCTTGGTCTTACTGTAGTCAAGTATTGTTTAGATATTCAGTCAACTCACGCAGCATGATGATAATCATGTTGAGGTGCCCATGAAAGAAAATCGTATCCACAATGGGAAATTGTTGTCGAGGTGACGGCAACGGTGAACCAGATCCAGAAAGTGACCACGTGAGCGCCGACAAGGGTTGGACCTAGAGATGGATGAGATTGATGGCCTGTTTGGGGTGATTTGGTTAGGCTCAGGCTTAGGCTTAGGCTCAGGATCGGAACAATCGGAACTACAAGGACTCAGGTACCGAAGTACGGTAGCTCTTTAATGTTTAGTTAATGCTCTTTAATGTTCCGTTTAGAAAACGCTTGCAAAGTGGAAAAGGATGACGGTAGAGACATTTGTGGCATTTCTATCGTACTCCTTTTTCGTTTCGACAGTACTCTCGTATGTTTTATACCGTAAACCCTACCGTAATCTACAATTTTCTACCGTAACATCTTACCTACCGTAACCCGGGGTCTTTTAAATGAGAATTTCGATTTCATGCCCAACAACCAACCCAACAAAACAGGCGTCAAATTCGAGAGCGCGTGCTCGAGCGGATGACAATAAACACTTGTAATGGCTGAAAAGATTTGCATAACTGAATAGCTTTCATTTTTTTGAACACTCACAAATTGGGGCCGTCCATCGATGATGGATTTTGTGAATCCGCTTGTAGAAGAATGGTTGATGGAGTAAACTAAATCGTTTTGTATGCAAATTTTTGCTTAATCATTTACCGATGGGTGTAGTAGAAACCGAATTCCTCGACGAAAATGGCAAGGATCATATCGCGGATGATCGTGAGCCAAGAGGGGACTTCTCTGGAAAGAAAGAGATACGGTCACTTGTTATGGAAGGGATACGATATTTGGTGGTGACCTTTAGAAATTTTAAACAATTTTAAGGTGATCCGATTGCAAATCTATCGTAGCCTTGTTTACGATGTTTACAGTAGATTTTGAGTTCGAAAAGTAGTCTAGGGATCTTCTAGAGTCTAGGGTAGAAGTCGAGTCATTTGAAAAAGTTTGAAGAAGTTTGAAGAAGCTTGCCAAGAGTTCTTTGATTCGAAACCGAAGGAGTGGTACTTCGACCGGATTTGAAAGCTTGCAGATCGATGGCAGAAAGTCGTAGGTTTGCTTTGATTTGCTTTAATGATTTGCTATACTTTGAAGTATAATTGTTGTCATTTTTGTTATTAAAGCGCGCATAAAAATCGAATTTTTCTTGCAGCTAAGTCAGAAATTTTTCCTCAACCTAGTAGAATTTCTATCGAACTCCTGAGATAAGTAGAAGGGTACGGTAGCTGACAGTGGGATACGGTAACTGCTGCTAGAGAGCTACGGTAGTTTTCTCTAAAGAGTTTTTAGGAAGCTACCGTAACCTGTGATAAGATGCTTTGTGAAATATTTACCTAGTACTGCAGGTACTGTAGTTAAGTTTAGGCTACTGTAGTCTACCGTAAGCTTAGAGTCTACCGTAAGCTAGGGCTTAGAGTTATCTAAAGTACGGTAGGACCGAATCGGATTTGATTTAATTCGGATCTGGTCGGATTTGATTTAGTTCGGATCTGATCGGATCTGTGCTCAATTCGGAGCTGATTCGATTCGGAGCTGATTCCATTCGGATCTGTGCTCAATTCGGATCTGTCTCCATTCGGATCTGATTCCATTCAGATCTGATTCCATTCAGATCTGATTCCATTCAGATCTGATTCCATTCAGATCTGATTCCATTCAGATCTGGTTCAATTCGGATCTGTGCTCAATTTGGATCTGTGCTCAATTTGGATCTGATTCCATTCGGATCTGATTCCATTCAGATCTGGTTCCATTCGGATCTGGTTCAATTCAGATCTGTGCTCAATTCGGATCTGATTCCATTCGGATCTGGTTCAATCCAGACCTGTGCTCAATTCAGATCTGGTTCAATTCGACTCTGATCAGATCTCTTTCAAAGTATCTAATGCACTAACCTGGCAAACGATACTCCTGTGTACGTTCCGAGCACATAAAATAACGACGAGGTGCACAGGGCGACCACAGTCGAGTTGAAGACAATCAGGGGGAAAGTCGAAGCGAATTTCTCCCATGTTACCTGAAATTGGAAATGATTCCGTACTACCGTAATCCTACCGTAATCAAACTACCGTATTCTTGCTTTTTTAGATAATTCCATTAGCTATACCTAGAGAAATTAAGCCTGTACTTGTAGGGTTAAGCCACAGTACGCAAAAAGTACTGTTGACGCTTGCTGTAGAGATTCGGCGTTACAGTATCCGAAAAAAGCCTTAGATACACATTTACGGCAAAGTTACAGTACTGTTACAGTACCCAAAAAGTACTGTCGACGCTTACTGTTACTCTGTCTCACTACCGTATTCCAAAGGCTTGTCCAGTGAAGTAAACCAAGCCTAATACGAGCTACAATACCCATTTTCGATTACTGTAAAGATTACTGTAGATTGCGACACTTTGAGTTAAGCGTACTGTATTTACTGTACTTATTTGTTCAATTTCTGTCAAAAACTGTACTGTACTAGTTTTATTTTGTAAACTGTACTGTACTAGTTTTCAGTTAACCCTTTAAAATTGCACTCAAATTCCCTCCCCCCCCGGTTAGCTGATGATTGATCTGTAAAAAATGGGGAATTTTGGGCAATGGGCAATGGGCAATGGGTCTGTCTTATGAACTGATAACGAACACAGATAGAACGTGATCGAAAAAAATGACGTGTTTTCTTTGAGTGAGCAACACTTTAAAGAGAAAATCTTTCTTCAAGCTTTCAATCAAAAAGTGTCGCAAGTTCGGGGACGAAAGCGGAAATGAGACAAAAAATTCGTTTGACTGATCGAAAAAAATCTGTTTGACTGATTGGCGGCTCGAAAAAGTCAACTTTGACTCGAAAAATTGTGTTTTGCCGGGGGTAAAATCGGCTAAATGACTTGTGATTTGCGGGATGGCTGTTTTAAAGTTGATTTTTCTCTGACCTGGCTTACTGTAGGCCTGCTTGGCTTATTGTAGGTCTGACTGGCTTACTGTAGGCCTGCTTGGCTTACTGTAGGTCTGACTGGCTTACTGTAGGTCTGACTGGCTTACTGTAGGTCTGACTGGCTTACTGTAGGCCTGCTTGGCTTACTGTAGGCCTGTATGGCTTACTGTAGGTCTGACTGGCTTACTGTAGGCCTGTATGGCTTACCGCAGGCCCTACAAGAGTCCCTGAGCTTGCCGGAAGTCGAATCTGGGCCTGGCTTCTGGCCTAGCTTACAGCTTGCTATGACCAATCTGGATAGATCAGGTTGTTCCAAGAACACGTCCAGGACTTGGATTTTGCGAAGGCTTTTTTGGAAGTTTTTAACTCTTAAACCTTACTTAAATTAGTCTGAATCTGTTCTTAACGTCTTTTTATCATATTCGAGCTCAAATTAAGATTGTTTAGATCAAAAGCAAGCTTGAATTGATCTATTTTGTCTTAGAAGTGTAGCGAAAGCTGCCGAAGCTTTGAGAGGAAACTTCGACTAGGCGAAACTCCTATTTGGGGGCTTCTATTAGAGTTTTTGACGATATCTCTGAATGGAGATCTCCTTTCAGTCATCTAGTTTATACAGCAAGATCCTTTTTTTTTTCTAGTTTTCAATCATCTAACTATTCGCTGGCCAGCTTTAATCAAATTCAGATTAAATCCAACTAGCCAATGAAACCATTTAACTGAGTCAGAATTTGAGTTGGGTAAATAGAAAAGCTGAAAAATCAAACTTAAACTTTGCCTGGTTCTAAGGATAGCTGACGAATCGTTCTAAAAGATTCAACAAAGATTTGGAGTCGAAGATTAGTCGGAGATTCGATTAACTACTGTCACTCACGTATTTCTTCCCTTGAATCTTGTACTGTTGCACGAATGCGGGTTGAATGAAATCCAAAATAACGAATGGGATATTGACAAGAAGATAGACGAAAATGGTGAGTGCATTCGTATAAAGAGTGAATAAAATGAAATCATTTCCATTGCAGAAACGATTCGAGAAATCCCAAAAGTCTTGTAGCGTTGAAGAGGACATTTTCTGGAAATAATAATCATAATGATAATAATAATAATAATAAAAACAATAATAATAATAATAATAATAATAATAATAATAATAATAATAATAATAATGGCTATTGCCCCACACTATTGCAGTGTGGCAGTTCCATGGAGCAGTTCCATGGGACAGTTCCATGGGATAGTTCCATGGAGCAGTTCCATGGGACAGTTCCATGGAGCAGTTCCATGGGACAGTTCCATTGAGCAGTTCCATGGGACAGTTCCCAACAAAATTGGTTCCTTGTCTCTATAAATTTGGTTCCGGATCTCTCAATTTGGTTCTTTATATCTTTAAATTTGATTCCTTATCTCTCTAAATTTGGTTCCTTATTCCATGGGACAGTCCCATGGGGCAGTTCCATGAGACAGTTCCATGGAGCAGTTCTATGGAGCAGCTCCATTGGTCAGTCTCATGGGACAGTTCCATTGGTCAATCCCATGGAGCAGTTCCATTGGTCGGTCCCATGGGATAGTTCCATTGGTCAGTCTCATGGGACAGTTCCATTGGTCAGTCCCATGGGACAGTTCCATTGGCCAGTCCCATGGGACAGTTCCATTGGTCGGTCCCATGGGACAGTTCCATTGGTCAGTCCCATGGGACAGTTCCATGAGACAGTTTCATGGGGCGGCGGCTCCGTGGGGCAGTTTTATTAATAATAATAACAATAATAATAACAATAATAATAACAAGAATGATTGAAATGATGAAGTGAAAGCCAATGAATCATAAAGTCTTAAATAAAAATGAATTTCCATTAGAAATGGGGGAAAAGTTTGCAATGTTTGAGAAAAAACGATCAGCTTTTTACTGACTTACTTTACTTTTACTGACTTTTTACTGACACCGCTAACGGAAAGACTCCTATTTTTTTTGTTCTTAAACCTGGACAACCCGGTAAAGTATCAAGGAAATTTCAAGGAAATCAAGGAAACACTTAAAAATAATGAAATCTTAAAGAAAACTAACAATTAAAAATTTAGAGAAAATAGAGTAATTAGAGTAGAAAAGTAACATTAAAATTCAAAAATTAAAAGAAAACAGAGTAAATAAAGGTTGGAAAAGCATGGAAAAGGTTGGAAAGGCTTGGAAAAGGTTGGAAAGGCTTGGAAAAGGTTGGAAAGGCTTGGAAAAGCTTGGGGGAGCTTGGAAAAGCTTGGAAAGGCTTGGAAAAGGTTGGAAAGGCTTGGAAAAGGTTGGAAAAGCATGGAAAAGGTTGGAAAGGCTTGGAAAAGGTTGGAAAGGCTTGGAAAAGGTTGGAAAGGCTTGGAAAAGCTTGGGGGAGCTTGGAAAAGCTTGGAAAGGCTTGGAAAAGGTTGGAAAGGCTTGGAAAAGGTTGGAAAAGCATGGAAAAGGTTGGAAAGGCTTGGAAAAGCTTGGGGGAGCTTGGAAAAGCTTGGAAAGGCTTGGAAAAGGTTGGAAAGGCTTGGAAAAGGTTGGAAAAGCATGGAAAAGGTTGGAAAGGCTTGGAAAAGCTTGGGGGAGCTTGGAAAAGCTTGGAAAGGCTTGGAAAAGGTTGGAAAGGCTTGGAAAAGGTTGGAAAGGCTTGGAAAAGGTTGGAAAAGCATGGAAAAGGTTGGAAAGGCTTGGAAAAGCTTGGGGGAGCTTGGAAAAGCTTGGAAAGGCTTGGAAAAGGTTGGAAAGGCTTGGAAAAGGTTGGAAAAGCATGGAAAAGGTTGGAAAGGCTTGGAAAAGCTTGGGGAGCTTGGAAAAGCTTGGAAAGGCTTGGAAAAGGTTGGAAAGGCTTGGAAAAGGTTGGAAAGGCTTGGAAAAGGTTGGAAAAGCATGGAAAAGGTTGGAAAGGCTTGGAAAAGGTTGGGGGAGCTTGGAAAAGCCTGGGAAAGCTTGGAAAGGCTTGGAAAAGCTTGGGAAAGCTTGGAAAAGCTTGGGAAAGCTTGGAAAAGCTTGGGAAAGCTTTGAAAAGCTTTGAAAAGGGTTGGAAAAGCTTTGAAAAGCTTTGAAAAGCTTGAAAAAGCTTAAAAATTGAAGTTAAAATAATTCTTTGAGAATTGATGGCTAAATAATGGCTTTAAATTAAGTGTAATCACCGATTTCCTGGGGGACAAAGGGGAAAATGGGCGGAGTTTTTTGGGGAAAAAAAGAAAACGTGAATTAAGGAGACTCTAGTCTACAATTTTCCCCTAATCAGAACATTTTCGGATTCGCTTTTTGGTCGCTACACTCTGTAGGGGAAAAGATTCGAAAATTTTGAGCTTTTTTGAATGTCAATAAATCATTTAAACCATTTACAATACTCAAAAATAGATCCTTTTTAGACATTAGAGCACGTGTGGCTGACTGGTTAAGTGTCTTTTATCTTAATCGGAAGGTCGAGGGTTCGAACCCCACATGCGACATGGTCACCCACTTCGGATTTCCTTTCCCTTCGGGTTGAGAGGTTTTCTGGAGGGCAGTCTGGTGGTTGTGGCCCCAGTTCTTTAAAGTGACAAGCCACTCCTTCATCGTCATCTTCCCTTCACCACCAAAAAAGCTATTTAGTTCCCCATTGAGCTTAGGGTTAGGGAGCCGTCTGTCATGACGTGGTTTAAGTTAAGATATAGCCTAGTATTGTGTGCGTCGTTGTATTGCGATTGATATATTTCGTGTATGCGATAAATTCACCACTGGTAGCCCCAGTCGGTATTTTTTATTAGACAAACTAGGATAAACAAAAAGATAAAGACAAAGGTAAAGACAAAAACGAATAAAAATTGAGTTGATCTCGAGTGAAAAATGGCAATTTTAGTAAGGAAACGGAAAAAACTCTTTTCAAAATTTGAAATTCAGCGTAAAACCAAAAGAGTAAATAAGAAAACTACTAAAAAATATCGTAAAAACTGGGTGAAAAAGTCTTGGAAAGTCTTGCTAAAGTCTTGCTAAAGTATACAGAAACATTAAGAATTAATATTCAATCGGTCAACCTTTTTCCAAAATCACTTCATTAAGTCGTTTAGGCATTGAGTCGACTAATTCGTGAAGAATTGAGCTGGTCAAATTCAGCTGGTCGAGTTGAGCTGGTCGAATTGAGCTAGTCGAATTCAGCTGGTCGAGTTGAGCTGGTCGAATTGAGCTAGTCGAATTCAGCTGGTCGAGTTGAGCTAGTCGAATTCAGCTGATCGAATTCAGCTGATCGAATTGAGCTGATCGAATTGAGCTGGTCAAATTCCGCTGGTCAAATTCCGCTGGTCAAAATCAGCTGATCGAATTCAGCTTCAAACTTTTCGTATGTAGAACCATAAGTCAACTTTTATGTGAAAGTCTTTTCCTCGTAACTTTGCCCTCAAGCCCATAAATTCTAAATAACGTTTAAATCAGGCGACCTTGGGAGCAAATTGGTCAACAAAACATTATTAAGGGCATCCAGGGAGATGAGCTTTTCCTCCATTTGAGAGATTCACCGTGGGACCCATCATGAGCTTGCTCTTGTGAACCGGCAAATTGTCCTGGTAGAGAAACCATCCAGAAGCCATGTAATCCTGAGCAAATGGAAGTATGGAAAATGGAAGCAAATGGACATCCTTCTAGTATTTCGAGCATTCATGGTTGACTGAACGAGGAGGAGTGGACCTGCCACATTTTTTGCCATAAGTTAACTTTTGTGTGACTCTACAAATATGGTTCCTTTTCTCTACAAATATGATTCCTCGTAACTTTGTCTTCACGTAAGCCCATAAATTCTAAACAACGTTTAAATCGACATTAGGCGACATTGGGGACATTGGGGCAGGCGACATTTGCGGCAAATTGATCAACAAAACATTATTAAGGGCAAAGCGATCCAGGGAGATGAGCTTTTCCTTCATTGAGCTTGAGAGATTCACCGTGTTGCCATTGGCAAAATGATTTGTTGCCATTGGCAATCTATCAAAAAATCATCGATTTTTTTTTTGAAAAAATGATTTTGCAAGACTTTTGCTTGGTATTGTATAAATAAATAAATAAATAACTAAATAACTAAAGAAATAAATAAATAAAGAAATAAAGAAATAAATAACTAAATAAACAAATAAACAAATAAAGAAATAAATAAATAACTAAATAACTAAAGAAATAAATAAAGAAATAAATAAATAAATAAAGAAATAAATAAAGAAATAAAGAAATAAATAACTAAATAAACAAATAAATAAACAAATAAATATTGAATAGAAATGCTTAAAAATTACTTTAATTTTATCTCTCACAAACTATAAAGATAAAGATGAATGAAAATGAATGAACAGGATCTCTTGGCTGACTCTTTTCTCAGCTTTGCCACTAAAAAAAGCTAAAAATAAATGTTCTGCAAAGAAGAATTGAAAAGAAAAGCACAAAAAGCACACACTCGAGTTGGGAAATGAGAAAAAGAGAAAAAGAAAAGAGAAAAAAGGAGAAAAGCAAAGAGAAAAGACTCTAGTTTTCTTTTTGGAGGAAAGTTATTTGTGATTGCTGAGGATTTGTGTGAAATTGGGATTTCTTTTTGGAAAGGACTCAATTTTGAGATGATTTTGTTTCTATTTTGCAGATTTTGCAGATTTTGCAGATTTGCAGATTTGCAGAAAGCTACAGCTACAGTAGATTTACTGTAGCTGTAGATTGAAAGCTACTGTAGCTGGTGGGTACTGTTTGAAGATAGGCTCGTTAAAGGAACGATTTTACTTTGGGATTACGTTAAAACCTTTGAGAATAGTTGACTGATAGCTGACTTGGATTTAATATTGTATTTTGATACTTTTAGAGTACTGTTGTATAGATATCTTAGTGTACATTATGAGCTTACTTACCCCCAAGCAAGTCTGGCTCTACTTACTCCCAAGCAAGTCTGGCTCTACTTACTCCCAAGCAAATCTGGCTCTACTTACTCCCAAGCAAGTCTGTCATTTTTATTTTGATGTATTTTGGATTATAACTTTTTTAAATATACATACATGCTCTAATAGACGTACACTCTAGAGGGTACTTGAGAAATAGATGTACATGCACGTTTATTAGAAGTT